TAAAAAAAAATTGTGTAATTTTTTTTATTGAGTTCCAATTCAGATTTTATAGAAAACGGTCATTTAAACTTAAATTAAGTGAAAAATCTGAAAAATTCTTAAGTTATGAATTATTTTTGACCTAATAAGAAAAACAATTTCAATTAAACCTAATTGAACAGAAATTTTATTTCATGCAGCTCTCTCAATATATTGAATTCCTTGCTCTCTTATTTTATTTCATGCTTTTCCGGGCCCCCATGAAAACATGCTGGCCCCCTCCTGGCCCCCGGTCAATTTTGTCTAGAACCGCCACTGTGTATAAATATGGGCCACTGTTAATTAATGCTTATAAAGGCCTGTCTGCATGGGATTTGAGACAGACATTGCCTTCCATTAGTGTGAAATTCCTATTATTTCATTATAATTATATTATATTATGAGTAAAAAAAAAAAAAAAACATATGACATCAAGGATTCTAGTGAATAATCTGACATTTACGTGATTCTCATTGTTTTTCATGGCCGCTTCAACCTTCCCTCCAACTATGCTGCACGCAAAGCAAGAATCGCCCCTTTCCAAAAAACACACACCAAAAAAAAAATCCCCATCGTCCTATCAGCCGCCCTGGATGGTGATTCAAAGAAGCTCAGATGGCCACAGCAAGGTGGGAGGAATATTCATAGTTCTCGAGAAGATAACAGAGGGTAGGGAACAAGTGGCTGTGGGAGGGAGAGGGGGCTCAAGTAGAGGAAAGTCAAACCCACCCAGAGCTCTTTATACGTCACTGTTCACATCACAGATGTTCCCACAGACACTCAGCGTGGGCTGTGGACCGAGGCGTGTGGAGAGCCAGCATGGCTTATATTGGCTTTCTTGTGCGCATTGTGTTATGCAGGCCTGCTGTGTGCGTAAATCAAGACTATTTTTCATGCGTTACAGTGATATTTAAAAGCCATGTGTTTTGTTTTCTTTTTTTTTTTCCAGCAAGGAAATGTGCATGATTGGTGCCATTTGAAAGTGCTGAATAGATTAGCTCAAATGATGTAAATCCCCCTTAAAAAAGAAAAGGTTTTTACCCTAAAAAAAAGGACAGAAAAAGAAAAAAACTAGCGTGGGTGAGCCCAGTGCTGTTTCCACATCCATAGCGGAAAAAAAACAGGACTTGTTATTGATGGAAATCAGGCTATATATAGTCTATTTAAATGCGTATCGGATGAAAAAGGCTTAAAGTCTTGTTCTCCAAAACACCGTGAGGTGAGAGCGCTCACAAACCACAGCCTTCCCTCACAGACTCCTTTGATGTGGCTTTCGTGAGTTTTTAACTACTCAGATCAGTTGGCTTGTTTACTTGAAAGTGCACCTACTGCATTCACAGGACAGAAATCCCCCTGAGCTTTTCCTGCGTTGGGGCCACTTTCTGCAGGGGTTCTGTGTCTGGGTCAATGGTCAGCCTGGCAACTAAACTTCCTCTTCTCACATTCTCATATAAACAATGTCTTTAGTTTACTGAGTCATATATTATTTAATACCTGTTTTCCTTTTTTTTTTGTTTTAGGATGTTGTGATTATGCAAAAAATAAACTTGCATGTAAGTTATTATATTGTGAACTCCTACTCATTTACAATAGAAACGCACAGGCTCAGATATACGCTTGGATATATAGACATCAAGCTCCTAGTTGGCCTAATTCTTATATGTGATCCTTATTTTATTTGTTTTTCTTAAATGCAAGTTGCCATTTAACTGTAAACTGTCCTGGATTGGATCCGGCTCAAGCATAGTCCACAATCCATAATGTCCTCTTCTATAAAGTGAGTTACCATTTGTAGCTGTCCAAATGACCTATTTAGTCACATGAACGTTTATCAAAAGGAGTCAATATAAAGGTTTTAACTGTAAAAGTGTTAGCCACATCATGAGGAGGATCTGTTTTGTGACAAATAACAGACCCGACTGGGTTTTAAAACGAGACAATGAGCCAGACATCCAGGAAAACAAATTTGTAGCTAGAATAAATTCAAGTAAATGTTTAACCCTAAACTGGAGCTCATTGAGAGACTTTTACAGTCAGAAAAGACAGTTGAGAAATGTCAGCACATTGAAAATGAGAATGATAAACAAAGCCATGGTGAAGCTTTTAACGTAAGTCATTATATATATTATCACAGTAGGGGCGGTAATGAACATGTTCCTTGACCGCTTTCTATGGAGTGTTGGCCTAGTGAGATAGAGCAGTGAACTTCTGCTTTGAGAAGGTTGCAAATACCTGGTTCAATTCCCACAGCCTTCACTCTGGGTTCCTGAGCAAAACCCTTAACCCCACCCTGCTCCCCGGGCGCCACACAATGGCAGCCCACTGCTCCCCAAAGGGATGGTCAATAGCAGAAAATGAATTTCCCCATTGTGGGACAATAAAGGAATTTACTTTTCTTTTACATTATCTAAATATCAGAGGAGGTGTGCAGTATGTTCTACTCTTTATGTCCAGTGAATTATATGGCAAGTTACTGTTTTTGATCACTTGCATACCCCTTACAAATGGAGTCACCCCCTGTCCTTATCCCCATCCCCCATGGCCATTGAATGTTATATTACTTACTGTAAATTAAGTTGAAAAAAGTTAACAAGTCAAGAAAAAGGTAAAAGGTAAAAGGCTAATTGAAAAGTTAAAAAGTAAAGTTAATAGGCCTAGTAAACAATTATATTAAGCTTTATAAACTAAAAAAATGTAACTTCCAGTATCAGCATTAATGCTTCTAAGGTTATTTTTTACCCAAAAAATATTATTTTCTTTTACTCTCAGAGTGTTTTTCATTAACTTCTTATAGAAGCACTTTTGTTATTTTTCCTAAAATATTTGGGTAAGTTGGTGTTTCTTGTTATTACATTGACATTCATTTTTACCATGAAGAAATCAATATATTTTGAATGTTACAAATGTAATACAGTCTTGTCCTGGATTCCAATAACACTGCTGGCTTGAAATTTGGATTTTCAAAGTATTTCACTGAGCGCCTATAAAGGGTTAAAATAACATTAAGTCAAATCTGAGTACCTAGTTCTAGTTCTTATAATTCTTTAAGTTGTATTAGGATTTCCAAATAAAAAAGATTAAAAAATGTTAAATGCATAAACATTGACATCCAAGTTGACACACTCTTTACTTTATTTCTGCATCTGGAACATTATGGTGAACTGCAATGAAGATGTTTATAAAATCTGGACTTTATAACTTCCTCCTCCTGTTGTGACCTCTGGTTTCCGCACATATTTGGTCAGTGATGCGTCCAACTGGAATGCTACGCATGGCAGCGTGCAAACACCGGACGCCCACTCGCGCCTACTCCTGTGCCAAACCCCGAGTGGCATATTGAGACGCCCCCGGCATTCCTGTAGCCACTGTCACTTCCCCTCTAAAAGAAAAAAAACCTGAATTACACATTAACTACATCTTTAACGCTACAGACTTTCTACTGTCAACCTGAAACCAAACCTAAGTCATATTAAAGCTAAATTCTGATCATTTCCACTGTATTTTATCCATCTCATGATAATCTGAGGTTGGTTCAAGCCTTCAGAGACTATAATGCTGATGTGTTGTATTACATGTAAATGAACCACTTCAGTAAAGGGATAAATACAAGAAAAGAGGAATGGATCATTTAATCATTTATGGGGCTTTGAATTCCACCCTGTTTGTTTGACTGTATAATTACAGCTGCAGTTAAACTAGTTAGAGTTGGAAACAAATTTAACTTCTTAGTCCAACTCAGAAATGTTCTCAACTTCAAGTCAGTTCTAACAGTTCTTTAATCCATCCATCCATCCATCCATCCATCCATCCATCCATCCATCCATCCATCCATCCATCCATCCATCCATCCATCCATCCATCGCCTGCTGCTTATTTAGTATAAAACTACAGATGTAACAAACCTGGGAGACCCTACTTATATGTTAGGATATAATTTCTGGGTTTTCTTCACACCTAGATTCCTCAAAAAGGGAGGCACCTAGTTCAACCATCAAACTGACTCCTTTCAGTGAGTAGAAGCAGCAGCTTTACTTTCAGCTAGTCCTGGATAACAGAGACACTCTCCCTATAGGCTGAGTGTGACCCCTAATTGGATGCTTGTATCCAACGATTTTTTTTTTTCCATTCTGTAAAAGTGCATCAATTTGTGATGCACCCAATTAACAAATCCACCTCAGTCTGGAAACCACACACCGCAAATAACCATGTTAAAATTTTTGTTACCAAATTATTGGTTAGACAATTTTTTATCATTGTTTACAATCTAACATGCTGGATTTAAAAGTAAAGGTTTTCTCTTTTTTTGCTAAACATCTAATACATTTTTATCATTAGCCTATTTATAGGTTTCCCATCTTATTCCATTCTTGGAAACATGGAAATTCAAACCCAGATAAAATTATCTTAATCTGTAAATAATTAAACTGAACAGGTAACAGATTTAAGTCTTTCCAGTTGTTAAAATATATATATTTTTTAAAAGGTCCTAAAAGCTACCCAATAAAACAGATAGCTATTATTAATTTAATTTTGAAATCAAAATTGGTGATTTTTTTTTCCTTTTAGAAGACATTGTATGAGGTTCTACTTGAACTCTAAACAGTTTCTCTCTTTACCAGATGATACAAATCTGTACTTTGTCCTGGTGCGTTTTTAAGTGTTACACAATAAGGAGGAAACTTGATCCTCTTATCTTTTCATTACAAGGAGGGACTCGGGTGGAACCGGTTTATATTACCTGGGCGGGGGTTCCCAGAAATCCTCCCTTATGACGAAATATACACCAACATACCCATATATGGGCATGCCCGTGCGTAATTAGGAAAGGCCAATACGTAGAGTACGTGCTGTGCGTAGAAATAAAAAAAACCTGCTTGCACAAGCGGTACTTCAGGTCTTAGCTCAGAGGTAGGCAAATAAAACTAAAATGCTGTTTTCTGCACTTTCAATTTAGAAATGATTACTCGAGACGTTTTTTTCTTTCATTTTAAAAGACAATTTACTTAAATACACATCACAAATAATAAAAAAGACAATGTAAACATTGGACAAAAGTTTGTCTGGATCAACCGGGCAAACAAAATAATTTACACAAAGAATAAATTGCAGCATTGCATGACAGTTGCAAAAAGTACAAAGTAGTACAATAGCAATTCCCATTTTCTACCATTAGTAAACCCGACTTGTGGGCAGTTGCCCTCTGAGTTGCGCAGTGTCTGCTCAGGCTGGATGCTGAAACGGTTGAATGGTCCTTTGAGCGGTGACCAGCATCCGGAAGTACCATTTCAGTCAGTCAGTTTTCACCTGTAATCAGAGCTGTCAGGGATCGGCTCTGTGAAGCTGGCCGCACATCCAGGTCTGTGCTCAAAGACCTTGTCTCCAGTGTTATCACTTTTCAGTCATTTAATAGTCTCTGTCCTTAAAACGCCTCAAGTTTGCTGGTGAGCATCAGCTGACAGCCGCTGCTCACGTGCGTTAGGACCTTCTGTTTGAGCTGGGCCACCTGGTCCCGCAGCACCGACGCTGTGTTGGACAGCCCCGCGTTGTCATTCTTCAGGACCTTCACCTTCTCCTCCAGCCGAGCGATGCGCTCCAGCTTGCGCCTCCTGCACTTGGTGGCGGCCAGCCTGTTCCGCAGCCGCTTGCGCTCCGCCTTTATGCGCTCCTGCGTCTCCAGGTCGATGGGCGACATCGGAGGCGAGCCGTCGCTGCTGAGCAGATCCGGCACGGTTTGGGGCTCTTCTTTCAGGGCGACCAGCCGCTGCGGGTGCATCCCGGAGCCCGGGAGCGCGTGCTGGAAGTGGTGCGCGCCAGGCGCAGGCGTCTGCGCGTGGCTCTGCTGGTGGGGCGGCAGGTAGCTGATGGTGGCGGTGGGGTAGCTGGACGCGGAAGAGAGGCTGGTGTTCGGGCAGTAGGCGTTCAGCGTTGTGTAGATCGGAGCTTCGGGCTGCAGCGCGGAGCCGAAGACGCTAGAGGCCGCCGCCGCCGAACACGTCGTAACCCCGCCGGCTCCGATGGACACGTTAGGAGGGGGCATCTGGTTCATTTTGTGGAGCTCGTCCAGCGCCTTCACGAAGCCTTCTGCGAACCCCTCCTGTTCATCGGTGATGCCCCGGTTGTAGAAGTACTGTCCCGGCGTGGGGCTGGTGATCACCCCGTTACTGTTCTGGATGATCAGCCTCTCCAGTTCGGGGGAGGCGAGCTTCAGGGAGCCGACGTCCGGCTGCCCCCCTTGGTACGGGTCCGCCTCGGCCCTCAGCTGAGACTTCAGGCTGCGGTAGGGCTCTGCCAAGTTCAGGTTCATATTCTGCTTCAGCACCTTGTAATCGTGCATGGCTGCATCAGAGTGGCCGTAAGCCGGCAGAAAAGAGTCGTCATGATAAAAAGGCTGTTCCATCTTTGTTGACATAAAGTCGTAGGGAGATCAAGAAAAAAAGTGGAAGCTTACCAGCTGCTTCTAGAAAATCAGTCTAGATAATAATAAATCAGTACCAGCACAAAGTATGCATCAATTCTGGCGTATGAGCCAACAGTGTCTCCAAAACGCTTTTTTCTTTCTTTTAAAAAATATAATGTCCAACAAATCTCTCTAAAGTTCAAAGTCAGCAGGTTGAAGTGTTTTGTTGTTCCTTCAGATCTGGCTGCGGTTTCTAACAGTCCTGTCAAGTTCTCCTCGCTCCTGAAAGCTCCTCTTTCTGCTGATCACAGAGGTGTGTTCGGCCCAAGCCAGTGAAAGCCGTTATATATACTTACACACAGCCACATGTTTCAGGGAGCGCTCTGATTGGTCCGCGCTGCTCCCTCTCCGCGCTACGTCACTGCGTCGTCGGTGACGCCAATGCCGGGAAGAGGCGCCTGTAAATAAGCCTGTAGGCTAGAGAGCGCACCGAGGAGGGATGGCAACGGAGTGTCACCAAAAGTAGTAACCCAACGCAACCCAACCACGCACTGCACTCTGCGCGCGTACAGTCTAAATAGATCAGTTATTAGATAAACGAGGTTATGAGACAAACTCTTCTCTTTTTTTAACTCTGTCACTTGTTTTCATTCGCTTATTATCACACTATGTATAAAAGTGTCTTTTTTCCCTAAGCATATTAAGATAAAATAAAATATATACACCTTTCATGTTATTCTATCTGTTTGATATGAAACATGCAGTCATGATTGAGATGTTTTTATTTTTCTATTCCTTTACTGTAGAGGAAGTTGCTGACCCTTATATGGGCATGATGACGTGTTTTTCCTCCAGAAAGACAACCATAAGGCCACGCCCCCCTCCAGGCTTCTCTCCAGCAGCATTCCTTCTCCTGTGTAAACTAAATCCATGCGGTGGGAAGCTGGGGACTTTCTACCCCAGAAAAGGAGAGCAAATTAGCTCAGGATCAGTACATCCTGGGATCGCTGCCTCAAGGTGATCTGTTTAGGCAGATATCTAATTTTGAAAGTTTGTTTTAAACACAAGAATAAAGCTGACTGCTTGACAAACTTCTGTTTGAGGCCTCAAAAAAAAAAAAAAAAAACCATAAAGAACACTGTCTGCGATCAGTTACAGAACAAACAACCACTGTTTGCATACTGACAGGTTGGTGAGGTGCCGCCGATGTTGGGCACATTGCCTTTGTCGGCTCGCCACTTTGATCAGGGACAGGAAAGACAGGAAATGTCTTCTAACATAAGCTCTGTCGGTTGTTTTCAACCCCAAGATTCATGTTCGTCTAATTTCCCCTTTGATCCTCAAAGCTGGTTTCACAACAAAACTCCACTAGTGATAAAGGTCAAGAGCTTGTGGGAGCACAGAGTAAGGAAACACGATTCCTCACTTGTGCACCTGTCTGCTTTTTTTTCTTTTTTCTTTTTGTATTTTAAAGGGCAGATTAGTCTTCTGTTTGTACTTTTTCCAACGACCAAACAAGCAGGCTCAAGTGAGCTCACCGCAGAATCCCTTGTGGGTGTCCAGCCACAACAAGTCCCCCTGCAACAGAATAACACCAAGTATCACAGTTTTGAAGTGGAAATAAAAGTACTTTTTTTACATTAAAAATCTTCCAGAAGCAAACAATCTTGATCTTTGCAAGATTAAATTTTGATGCGAGGTGTTAGTACAAAAAAAAAGACTTTCATTAGAGCATACATAAGATAATAAAATCACCGTTATCTTAAATATAGGGGTGGGGCGGCCTAGTGGTTAGGGCATTGCATGTGAAATCCAGAAGTTCTGAGTTTAAGCCCCACTCCCACAGACTGCCACTCTGGGTCCCTGAGTGAAGACCCTTAACCCCCCACACTGCTTCCTGGGTGCCACACAATGGCATTCCACTGCTCCCCAAGGGGATGGGTTAAATGCAAAGAGTTCCTATCATTGCTCTGTACTTTTGACTGTGTAATGACAATAAAAAAAACGTATATATATAGGTGTGCATTTGCATTCAGCCCGTTTTATGCAACCCAAAATAAAATCAATTGGCACCAGTTTCTTTGTAAGTCCCAGACAACATTACTTATCTATAATTTATTTATCAATAGGTTAGCAGGGTTAATTATAAAACAATATTCCAGGTATTGAACATCATTTGAGCACTCTTTTATCCCATGAGGCCACTGGTAACTCTGGAGGAGCTGCACAGATTATGCACTTCACAAATCTTTCTTTTATGGTAGGGTGACAAGAAGAAAGTCATTCCTGAAGAAAAGTAAAAGAGCCCCTTTAAGTCATTGATCCTATTTTTGTTAAGAAGGGCATCCGTTGCAAAAACTCTGCCTCGTCTGCAAGTGAGTTCTATGACCTGCTTTGGAGACCGTGTCATTGTAGAAAAATCGTTAAATGTTTGCCAAATAGCTCAATCAGACGGGAAGGAAAAAGTAAAAATAAATTAAAAAGTACTTATTAGAATTCAAACAGATATTTAACAAAAAATACCCCTGCAAATCACTATGGAACACACTGTCCCTGTGGCAGGACATGGTGGTGGCAGTGTCATGCTGTAAAGAGGCTTTTTTTTTTTTTTTTTTTTGAAGGAAAGAGATTCAGGATGTTCAAAGTATGGTCTGTAGTTGCCTTCTTTTTCTTTTACTCTGATGTTCCTGGTTAAAATACTTTGGGACTCTATGACTTTTAGAAGTCAGAGAATGAAATGTAGTCTAGGTTTTCATAATGCATGAATGTAGGGGAGACAGCAGGCCCCTGGGAGAGGGTACACTGGTGAGAAGGTGACTTTTCCTGCCTATGTCAAAAACACTTTAGATGACAGCAGATCACCTGGAACTCAGCATCCATTGTAGTGAAACATGGCAATGGTACTATCATGCTGAGGGTATTTTCTTTCTCCAGAGAGATTAAATGTTGCCGCAAATGTTTACAGTACTTATCTGCTAGAAGGACTGAATCTCTGTGGGAGATTTTAGTGGAAAGCACAGTTGCGCTTTGTAAAGTTCACACTTAAATCCATTTGGTTAGCTGTGGCAAGTGGTGCAAGATTGTAAACAGATATTGATGTTTGACTTTTAGAAAAAAAATCCGCACCAAGCGCTTTCCAGATGTGCTCTGATAGGGGTTTGTGAATGAAAACCTTAAGACAGTGATTATTTATTCTCATTTTGCTGAAATCTACCAGAATCCCATGCCTGATCCTAATTCTCTTATCTTAAGGAATTCTCTGCTATTCAGACAGACTATTTCACCCAGATTTTTTTCTCAGTATCCATGGGATTGCAGATAAACAGAGAAAAACAACAGTTCCTGGCAGCGTAGAGCCTCCACTTTGCCACCTCCCCTATAAATTCTACTCAGTGTGCAGCTGTCTGTCTCTGATGCTCGGTGCGGCGAGGCTCTGGTTTGGGGTTTGCTCTGAGCTGCGGTTCGAGGTTCACCACAGTCCCAGCGACATTTTGGCACAGGCCAAAAGCTCAGGGTCCTGGGTGGTGGGTGTTTACGGGAACGTTCGTGAGATGGCACCATGCCCATCCCAGCAGAATGTTAGTAACAAACAGAGGGTTCACTTAAGAAGGGGAGGAGGGGAATTGGACAGATGCGCAGCTTCGTGCAAAAACATGCTGTTTTGGGCTGGAAATATCTCAATTAATCAGTGATTTAGTTATCAAACATAAAACAGGATCAAAAGCAGATTTAGCTCAGAACACCTCAGTTATCAGGTTACAGCTTTAAAAAAAAAACATTTAAAACTGTCTGCCATCTTAGTCACATCTTGATTAGTCACATCTCTGTTTAGTCTGTTTAGATTTAGAGTTCTCTCCTCTACGGTTCAGAAATTCCTTTGTCTGACTTCTGCTTTTTTCTGCACAAGGTATAAAACCTGCTGTAGGATATATAGAGCTGCCTTTTAATGTTTTTCTTTTTGGGGGGGTAGGGGGAAACCTTTCGAGAGTTTGAGGGTAGTGGGAGCTGCTCGGGCAGAGCACCGAGTTTTAACAGCTAGGATCACATGGATGTGTGCCAAAACCCAGCTCAGTGTTACCTGTTTTGGTCCTCTGGGTGAGTTTGGGAAAGGCAGGGCCTAAGGGTGGATGGAAGCTGTTTACCGTAAGATTAGGAAACATCCATGTGCGTATGGGTGAGTGCGTGTGTGAACAGTGTATAACCAAGGGCGGAGTGTGATCATGGATTCTTCTTTTTACCGCATTCTGAACATCTGCATTAAGGGTGGAGATAAGAAAGATAAACAACTGCTCTGTGGGAAATGTTATCTGTAGTGCTACTGTTACCTGAACCTTTTTACAGTTTGTCCTTTCATAACTTTTTGAAAAGCAGAGTAATTTATTTTAATTTAAAGTGGCGTGAAAAAATAAAACGGGACCAAATGTAATAAATGTCGTTCGAATACATTTTTTAAAAACTAAACTTCGACATTTTGTCAGACACATCGACATAAAAGCCAACAGAAGAGAGGTTTGATCAGTAGTGGTAGCAAATCAATCCAAAATCTCGATAATATCAGAAGAGAAAAAATAAGACAGAAGTCTTAAAAGTCAGAAGTTTGATGAAATGTCAGCCTAAAATACTGAAGAGCATTAGAATAGGTATCAGCATCAGTCATACGACCCTGTATTTAGTTAATATATAGAATTAAAGAGTAGAGATCAACGGATTCAGTTTTTTTTTAAGGAAAATGCTGATACAGATTATGTTGACATCAGTCTAACTGATGCCTGTTATGACCTGCTGATTACGAGCAAATTCTTGAAGCCAAGTTAGCTTTTTCTTCAATCATTTACATGATAAAAATTACACGAAAATAACTATCACCTAAATCTGAATTGAATGAAAAGATAAACATTTAACAACAAATCAAAATAAACATTAAAGTGGGTAAGCTAATGAAGCAGCAATGCCTGAATTAGCGAATGCTTACATGTATTGCATAAAAACACCGTCCGGCTTTGGAGGAGCTGCAGAGATCTGCAGCTCAACTGAAGGGATCTGGTTAAAGTGTTATTAATTTGCCACACCCCAAGGTGCAAAGTACTTTGTTGTGAAAAAAGTATTTTGAGCACAGCACCTCTCATGTGGAGATGCAGTAGGGGCTGCAAAATCGAAAGCAAGAAAAGAAAGAGTTGAGAGAGGGGCTCATGGCTTAAGCTGTGAGCATACAGCCAAATCTACTGAAGGCTAGAATCTATGGCAAGAACTACAAACTGCTGTTGGAAGGAGAGATGCTCTCCATCCAATCTTAATTAGTTATTTTGTA